GGTGTCCTCAAAACCCCAACCTGGGCTGCACCTTAGGCAGACAAAAAGCCAGTTAGTCAAACCTTCGAGCCCAGACCATGTTGCTCCCTGCAAGCTGTCCCTGGCACCCAGGAGGAATTCTGACCTCACAGAAGTAGGACCCACTGCTTCCTACTCATGGCTGCCCTACAAGAGACTCCACCTCAGGCCTCCCCTCTCCAGCGACAGAGTTCCTCAAAACCAACAGGAAACTCCTACAGGGCAGGGCCCAGTTTTGCTGACCTTGTCCCAATAAACAGGAGAATGACCAGCACCACACACAAGGCATTCCCCACCTCCCTCTGCTGCTATAAATGCCCAGACAGAAAGCCAGAAGGCCAGCACCACCTAGGGAAGGGCACTGAGGATGGTGGTGCCAGACGCCCCTTCTGCAAGCTAGACTCACCAGATCTGTCTACCTCTAGTGTCAGAAAGGGGGTCAGTGGTTGCCATTCCAGGAAACAGAAGCAAGCTGCAAATCAGCAGCTTGAGCAGGACCTGATTCTTGTGAAAGTCAGCACACAGTAGAAATGGCCGAGGAAGGCTTTACTTCTCTCCTTTTCCACTGCTGAAGATGCAGACCGGGAGAGGCTCATAAAAATCCAAAAGGTAAAGAAACATACAAGCCCATGCCATACTTTAGTTACTACAAAAAAAGCCCAAAGATAACTATTTCTCTTAAAGTTCAGGCTTGGAGGCTGGGGCCTTCCTTCAGGAAACGCTGAGGTGGGCATGGAGGCAGGGAGGCTCAGGCAAGAACTAAGGACCTTGCCCAGGACTGCAGGCTCTTGTTCCGAGTCTAGGTCCTTGCCTTCCTCCCAGCGGCTTTGGGCATGCTGCTTCCTCACTCAAGGCTGCCTCCACATCTGTAAAGAGGGGGCAATGGCCACTGTCCAAGCGTCTGCAAATGATCACATGTAATCACTGGCATGGATGGGCTCTGCAAATTGCCCAGCAGTTCCTGCCCACATAGCTATGGCCAGGGACGACTTTTTGGGGACACACATTCTGCTAAGGGTCTTCTCAATGTCAGCACAGCTAACCCTCGAAACTTTCTAAAGGAAGTAGGCATTAAGCTTATCCTCTTTTAAAAAGATGAGAAAACTGAGGCTCAGAGAGGTTCAATGACAGCCCCAGCCACTTGGCAGCTGAGAGTCAAGCCCAGGTCTGACTACAGGTCAGATCCTCACAGGCTCCTGCCTTGAGAACTCTTTTCCAAAGCACAGGCCAAGCTACACCAGGCCCTGTGGACATCTATGCGATCAAGTAAGAGTAGGGCTGGTAGGTTGCTGTCAGGGGCAAAGTACTTTCCTCGCATATGTGAAGCCCCGGGTTCCATCCCCAGTTCCCAAAAAGAAAAGACAAAAAAAAAAAAAAGACCCCAACCAAAAAAATCAAGTAGGAAACCCACATTGCTGGCTCTGTCTCAGACTCATTCTGCTCAGCTCAATAAAGTCAAGGCTGTGAGAAGTTCCACAACAAGCACAACAAGTCCTTGTTTCTCAGAATTATCTAACCACTGAGACCAAAGAGCCTGGTGTTCCAGGGAATACACCTTGGGAAATATGTCATGTGGCAGCATTGTCAGCAACCACACTGATAAGATGAGGGTGTGGAGAGCAGAGGGTCAGCACACTGGCATTCACAGAGCACAGCAACCATACACTGCTGAGCTGGCTGCTGGGGCAGGAGGAGGGACAGCAGACAATTCTGTCTTCTGCCACCTCTGTCTGGGAATCCCCGGGCCTATAGTGAGGAACCCAAAGGACCATGGAGACGGAGATGCTGCCCTCTGCCCTGGGCTGGGACAGGCAGCTGAGGGAGACTGCCGCGGGCCTTACCCCAAGACTCCTCTGCTATCTGCGCTTCGGCTGGCGGCGCTGAGGCTGGCTCACGTGTGCCTGGGCAGGGTCCTGGCATTCCTCTCGCTCCATGGACGCTGCCTCCCTAGGAGGAAGCGAGAGCTGCTGTGAGCAGGCGTTTGTGTCACTATCAGAGCTACCTGCCAAGCTGCCAACGTTTCTGGAGAGCCAGGTGGTGCCAAGGCCTGGGCTGGGCTCCGGGGGAGACAGGAACTACCTAGACATGGCGTCTCAGGCACACAACTAGGTCGTCCAAGAAGATGCCAAGTTAGCAACACCTAGAAGGCCCAGGGCTCTGCTGGGGAGAATCCAGGAGATACACGACACCAGCTAGAGGAGTGGGGTCAGGGGAGGCTTTGTGGAGGACTGCTGGGGAGAGGCTGAGATGGGAGGGGTGGGAAAGGACCACTCAGGGCAAGAGTCGCACCACGGGCCTGACTGCAGGAGAGAAGAGGTGCCATCTACAAAATGCTAGATGCGCCTCCCTACCTTGCTCTATCTTCTGGGGACGTGTTGAGACAAGAAATACAAGTGGGTAAGATGGGCCAACAGACTCCAACTCAAACAGAAAGCACAAACATCATCCATCATTCAGACTGCACAGTGCCATCGACCACACACCCAGCACTCTGCTCAGAACTGTTCACAAGTGAACAAGACAGGGTGAAAAGAAGTAGGAAGAAGTGTGGGCACTACTCTAGGCTCAGGGGGTGGCAATGAGGAGGCAGGAACTGGGCATGTGGCCAAAGCATGAGCATGAGTTAGTTCGGGAGCTGAGGAAAGACTCAGGACCTGAAGGCACTAAGGAGGCACTGTGGAACAGTTCAATAGCTTGTGCCAACAAAAATCTGTCACACCTACTTGGTTCTAGGTGATGTTCTGGGAGTACAGAGGCAAAGGGGGCATCAAACTTCACCTCAAGCAAGATCTAACACTGTGAAGTTTGAGACACAGCCACAGGGAGAAGCAACAATCCAGTAAGGCCACAGAGGTAACCTTAGCCATCCAGCCATCCTAGAGCCACTAAGACACAGAGGCCATCCAGGCCCCTCTGCCAGTCCCACACTCCTCAGCAAGGATGGGGACATGGCTGACAGTGGGAAGGAGAGTCACTTGCCCATGGCAAAGCTGGTACAAGAACCTGGGCCTCTGGACTACCTGATTCTTCTAGTCCCTCCTGCCAGGAAGCATTCCCTGACCATCCTGCATCTTCACTCAGCCAACTCCTCTTTCCCTGTGCTCCTTGGGATATTTCTACTATAATACTGGCCAGTGTCTCCCTGTCTGTCTCCTCCCAGACTGCAGCTCTGAGGAAGCAGGGACCATATCTTCCTAAGGCCAGTTCCAGATAAACGACAGAATGAGTCAGGGATGGAAGGGTAGGATGTGGGGTTCCACGTCCATTCCACCTGAGTCCCCATCAATCTGTCAGGCTGTGCCTCAGTGTCCCCAGGTGAAAAGCAAGACCTACCTCCATTGTCAGGACAGGGAGTCAAGAACCAGGCTGATTCCCTCCCTCCAGTTCTTCCGGGTGAGGCCCAGACCACACCAGGCAGCAAACCAAGCCCCTGCCTCCTCCCTGTGAGTCCTGACTCACTGGGACATTCCTCAGGCACCCCCACTGTCCAGAAAGGCTACTCAGTGTTTGCAAAGGAAACTGCTTCCCAGTGGGCATGCCCAAGGCACAGAGGGCAAACCCCATCTGTTGAGTCCCAAGAAGAAGTGACAAACACTACCTGTGCCCCTGCTCTGTGCACCAAGGTGCCAGGAAGAAAGAGGCTCAGCAGACTCCATCCCAAGCAAGGTCTAAGATAGGGAAGCAGGGCTGCTCAGACTCAGTAGAAGCATCTCTACAACAGCAGGTTCCCAGCACAGGTCAGCTGTCCTTGCCTCCTTGGGCAGCCTCAGAAAGGGAACCTTCATGGAGGCTACACCCGTGTGACCCAGTCACTGGCCCTGCCCAGAGCCTTGGAACACATGCCCACTCCCCCACCCAGCCTCTACACAGGAGTATCACCAACAGCCCACCTCCTGTCCCTTCCAACAGTGTTCACTGCCAGGGGCTAAAGGTTCTACTCATAGAAAGGACAGAAGAGGTCCAGGGAACCTTCATCTCTCCAAACCCCTCCTCCACGACTTAGCCCCCAGTTCCCTCCTCCTCACCAAGCTCTCTCCCTGCTCTCCTGTCCTCAAAAGGCACCCCCAGGTTGGGCAGGGAAAGAAGTGCCAGAAGAAGGGTGGCTCACCAGACCCACCCTGTGCTGCCAGCCCAGTCCCCTTCAGGAAGATTACCACACAACCCCCAAACCCATGACTCCTTCCCAAAAAAGGCAATAAGTGCCTCAACCCAGGACCAGCTGGGTCTTGGTTCACTCCTGACTGGAACCAAGGGCAAGGGCGGCCAACACCATAGCAGACTCACCAAGAACCCACACCCCCAAGCCGTGCTCCCTCTCCCAGGACCAACAGCGCTGCGTCTCTGCCCACCTAGACGCTGGCCAGGCCCCGACCTCACTAGACGTGGCTCTTCCGACCCGCTGGATGCACCGGGCAGGACAGGGGCCGGGGTCTCAGACCCCGAGCTCGTCATCCCGGGAACCCCGGCCCACACCGGTACCAAGAGCCCAGCCAGGGATCCTGCCCCCAGGTCAGGGCACTGTCCCCGCATGACCAGGAGCAGCGAGCGTCCGAGGGGAGAGGACGCGCCGCGGAACCCAGCCCAGGACAGCCGCGGGAAGGGGAGCGTGTGCGCAGAGGGCATCCGGGGACCGGGGATGACACGGGGACCTGGGGAGCCGGCGGAAACTCTGGGTAAGAGCGCGCAGCGGGCTCGGGGTGCTGGCAGGGGGCTCGCGCGCCGCGGCTCCAGCGAGAGGGTGGGGCCCTGCGTCCCGGGACCTGGACCCCGCAGAGAGGCCCAACCAAGCGGCCGCGGGACGCGGGGTAGACGACCCGGAGGGCAGAGCCCCAGCTGCCCCGGGGGGGGGGGGGGCGGGCGGGGGGGCGTGCGAGTGGGCGTCCAAGGTGACAGCTCGCACCCCCGGGCCCACGCGACCCACTCACCTGGGCTCAGCGCGCCCGACCCCGCAGCAGGCCACCCCCGCCCTGGCCGTCCAATCCCGCCGCCGGCCGCCGCGATCCTCCGGCGCCTCCTTTTGTTTGTCCCTCACTGCACCACTCAGTCTCCTCCGCCCCGGAAATGACGTCACCGCCAGGCGCGAACGCCGAGCTCAGGGTACCGCCATGTTTATGAAGGCGCTGGGCCTTACACTACTCTCGATACCGCGCATGCGCCAAGTTGCTTGCGGGTGTAAGTAGCGGTTCGGGCTCCGCCTACTTAAAGGGACCGGGACTGTTGCAACCTTGGGGATGAGCTGAGAGACTAACGGTGAAGTACTGAAACGGAGGTGAGTAGCGGGTTCTCAGCTAGAGTGACTCGAGGTCGGCGGCGAGTTGGGGAATACTTATTAAGGAATCCGAGCTTGATAGTGCCAGAGCGCTTGATGCGTTGTTCCCGGGGTATGCGGAGTGGCTGCCACCAAAGATTGAGGTGCGAGTGGGAACGATTTGTGCGCGCTGTCCGCAGATGCTCGCTCCGCCACGGGAACCAGTCAGAACAGTTAACCTCTGCACATTCATCCCCGATCCACCACGTCCTGGCGGGGAACCTGAGTCCCGAGGTAACAGCGAATTCTGGGTAGAGCTGGAGCTCGAGCCTGGTCCTCGGATGCTCCTAGGTCCTCACATGTTCAGGTTGCCAATAAGGCAAAAGAGTTAAAAAATAATCCATACGCTAGAAAATTGTGCAACCATTAAAAGAAAAATAGTTTAATATGCACTACTTTGGAACAACTTCCCAGATACAGTAGGTTAAAAACGAAGGAGCCGTAAGAATATCGTTGAGTGCTTCCTACCCTTTGTGGGTTGTAGGTTTGTTGGTATCCACGGGTGTGCGCACCATCTGTCTGATAAGATGCAGAAGTAGTAGACAACTTGTTACCTCGCACAGGAGAACTGGGGCCCTGGTTGCATCCCACCTTGTGTGCATGTGGTTGTGAGATGTCCAAGTTGTTAACTGGTTGCTTCACACAGAACAGGGTCCTGGGTACCTCCGCAAGGGGGAAGCACTTACTACCTTTTTGCACAAATTGATTATCCAAACTGAAGTGCTGAGGTCCCCTGTGGAGCCAAGGCCTTGTTTCAGCTCTCCTGCTGGGAGGTGTTGTTTTCCCCTTTTAATACAGGAGGAAAGGGCCCCAGGGAGGGAAGGGAATTTAGCAACCTCAGCCAGGAAGCAGAGAGGCTGGGTTGGAGCACAGGAAGATTTTACAGTAGTGCCGGTCTGTGATCCCTCTTGTCCTGCTCCCTACTGGGAAGCTGCTTTGCTGTCAGTCATGTGACACCCTGTGAGGCTGGCTCAGGAAGGACATCCAGTAGCTTCTTATTGCCACAAAAGTGGAGCACACGGAGAGACAACCTGGGATAGAGAGGACAGAAGCAAAAGTTGATGGCCAGAGCCTAGGATGAAGTCTGAGGCTCACTGCCCCTTTCCAGTCTTGAGACTGTGCACCTGACACCTCCTCTCTGGGCCTCCATGCCCCCACCTGTACAACAAAAAAACAGAACTACTATAGCAGACCCTGAATGACACCCCCCAAATCATTCCTTGTCCTTTCACCATATCAGTCCCATTTAACAGAAGGATACTTGAGGCACAGAGAAGTTGAAAACTTGCCCAAAGAAGGTTCCCACCAGACCTCACTCCCTCTTCCCCAGGAGAGGATGTTGGACTCCTTGGTAGCTCCCTCAGCTTCCTGGGATCATCAGCAGGAATGCTTGGGATTACTGTAACAGGGACTTTGAAACTGCTTTTGTTAAAATCAGTGACTTGAATTTGGTACTGTAGACACAAGATAGGTAACTAAAGGCAAGAGAAAAGCTTGGCATTTCTGCCCTCACTTTGCATCTCTCTCCTTTGCTGCCTAATCTTTGGGTCAGATTCCTGCTCCACTCTGCACATAGACAAGTTGCTCGTCTAACTCTGTTATTCCTTCCCCTTTGAGACTTGAAGGCACCCAGATAAGAATAATTAAGTAAGAATTTTTCAAGATTTGCAAGAACATTAGAATCAACAGATTACCTGGTGCCAGCTTTTCAACATCCTTTTCCAGACCCCCAGAGCCATGCCTAGGAAGTTCCAGTCATTTCTATAAACTTGGGAGAACTGCATCATTCTCTCCCACCGTCAACTTGGATTCTAGGAACAACAAGAGTTGAAGCTACCCCAAGCAGCAGCCACTTTCTTATGGCAGATAATGATCAATCAATGTATAGTCTGACCAAGACTGGGTGACTACACATGCTTCTCCCCCGCCCTTCTGATCTTCTGGCTTTTCCCTTATTTAACCCAAAAGCCCTTGTTTGCTCCCCAAAACTGGACTGAGAATCAGTCCTCCTGGTACTTCCCAATTCCCTTCCTGTGTCACTGTTACTTTTGCTGATTGACTTTTGGGGTGAGTGGCCACACTTGGTCTGTTGGGACTTCCCACCTGACCTAGGACTGGTAACACTCCTGAGAGCTAGGTGAGCTTCCAGAGGCTGAGAGTCTGTGGAGAACAGGACATGCACACAGTTTCTGTCCTGTGAGTTTAGCAAGGGCAACAACCTAACTAATGGCCTGTGTTCAGGGCCCTAGAGGCAGAGGGGAAGGCCAACCAGGCTGGAGTCAGACAGGGCTCCTCCTAGGAGGTAACATTTAACCTGTAGCAGAGAAGTAGGTGAAATGTCTGGAAGGGGTAATGATGAAGCTGGAAGCTGATGCTGGCTTATTCACTGCCCCTTCTGGGTCTTCTGCCGGCGTTGTCCTTTCCCCCTGGACAGTGACTGCAGTAGGTGCTTCTGTAGCTGCACACCCTCAGCTCCAAAGGGTCTGGCTCCTGATTTTCTAATGCAAGTGGTAGTGATGAATAATCACAGCAGAGTTCAAGCAGTGAAGAAGTTCTGAGCATTGACTTGTCATGCTCTACCTGTGAGCCACACCCCCATCCCTCTTTTCATTCTTCTGAATTTCCATGTACTACTTTTGCTCACTTTTTCTCTATTGAGTTTTTGGTCTTTTATTATTGATTTGTAGGAATCTTTTATATGTTAAGGCTCACACTCTATTAAAATGGCCCAGTTACTTGTCTATTTCCCTCATTAGATTGTGCAGTGCTTGAGGAAAGGATCCTATTAACCCTCTTTGCATGGTTGTTAGCATAGGGAGTAGCACAGTGGCAGGCTCTGCACCAGTTGTTGAGAATAAAAAGCTTAATACAGGGCTGGGGATGTGGTTCAAGTGGTAGTGCATTCGCCTGGCATGCGTGCGGCCCAGGTTCGATCCTCAGCACCACATACAAACAAAGATGTTGTGTCTGCCGAAAACTAAAAAATAAATATTAAAAAAATTCTCTCTCTCTCTCTTTAAAACAAACAAACAAAAAAGTTTAATACAATTCAGTTGTTGTAACGGAGGTCTCTGTTGCGGGTAGGAGATAAACATTCATTCTGTCTTTCAAAGATTTATTGAGCCAACTACTGGGGAGGCTGAGACAGGAGAATTGTAAATTTAAGGCCAACCTGGACCACTTAGCATAACCCTGTCCCAAAATTTAAAAAAAATAATAATAAGGGCTGGGGATGTAGCTCAGTATAGAAGACCCTTGGTTCAATCCCCAGTTTAAAAAAAAAAAAGTGTTTTGAGCAGCCATCCTGTGCTAGGTGCACAAAGCCCACTGGAAGAATGAATGTGTAAGGATGACAAAAATGGCAGGAGTGTTCATAGATACCTGGACATGAACTTGCTTGGTCATATGGTTGCCATTCATTGAAAAGCCTATCTTTTCCCCAATAACTTGTCTGGGAACCCTTGTCTAATAGCAGTTGACCAAAAATGAGAAATTTTTTTCTGGATTGTCAATTCTCTGCCATTAATCTGTATATCTGTCCTTAAAAAAGTCCCATAAGGGGGCTGGGGATATAGCTCAGTTGGTAGAGTGCTTGCCTGGCATGCTCAAGGTCCTGGGTTCAATCCCCAGCACCACAAAATAATAAATAAATAAATAAAGTTAACAACTACAAAAATATTTTTTAAAAAGTCCCATCAGCCTGGCATGGTGTCACATGCCTGTAATTCCAGCGGCTAGGGTGGCTGAGACAAGAGGATGGCAAGTTCAAAGTCAGCCTCAGCAATGGCGAGGCACTGAGCAACTCAGTGAGACCCTGCCTCTAATAAAATATAAAATAGGGCTGGAGATGTGGCTCAGTGGTTGAGTGCCCCTGAGTTCAATCCCTGGTAACCCCCCCAAAAAAGTCCCATCATTTTGTGGTTCTATAGCTTTGAAATTTGAAATTGTACAGTGTGACTCCTACAACTTTTTCTTCTTTCTCAGGAATTGATTTTTTTTTTCTTTTTTTGGAGTGTGTGTTGAACCCAGGGGTGCTTAACCACTGAGCCACATCGCCAGCCCTTTTTATTTTTATTTATTTATTTTTAATTGGCAAACAGCTTTATTTTGTTTATTTAGTGTGGAGAGCTACTCTGAATGATTCAGGCCTTCCATCCTGAAGGGAGAGGCTTTGACCGATCACTGCATTTCATAGTGACCTGGAGGATGTCCTGGTTCAGGAAGTTAAGGGCGTGCCTTCAACGTAGGCATGTTGCCCCTTGGGTTGAATTACACTCACCTGTCCCTTGTAACTCTGCCCCTTCTGATCCTTTTTTGGATGAAACTTCCTAAGAATAAGGCTCCCCCAATAAGAGCCCACTTCCCAACGTGCTGGCTCTCTCTCACCAGCCTCTCGTGACTTTCTCTTGCTCCCCCATTTGGGGAGCCTGAGGCTGAGAGCGGAGAAGCCATCCTGAAGCTTGCTGAAAGGTAAAGTGTGTCTGTGTTTTATTTGGTGTCCCTGGAAATTCACATGAGCGACCTTAAGTTCAGATGCCCTCGCAGATCGTGGGCAGCAGGTGGTGCCCGAACAGGGACTGCTCAAGGTGAATTTCCAGGTTGACTGAGAAAGCTATAGAAATTTAGTGAACCGTGTTTTTTTTTTTTGTTTGTTTTTTGTTTTTTTTGCAGGAGAGGTGGTGGTCACAGAGGAAGCAGATAGTTTCAGAGCCAGGGACATTAAACAATTATCATGGGCAGTTCCATGTCTTCAGATAAAGAAATGTATTTAATAATTCTGGAGACAATAATCAACTGGAAAGGAAAACAAGTTAGGAGGTCCCAGCTGACTCAGTTCCTGAAAACCGTTAGTGACGTATACCCATGGTTTTGTCAGCAAGATTTGCCAAATTTGCATACTTGGGAGAGGCTAAGTAGAAAATTATATAAATTCTGCCCCTCTGCCAAGCTGTCTAAAAGTA